TTCTCTTCCACTTTTTTTTATTTCTCCGTCCGATATTATAATAGCCGACGTTTTTTAAAGGAAATTTCTTCGCTTTTTCTTTCTCATCCGCCAGTCCATGTTTTTTTTTAATGCGTGGACGATAGCTTGAAATATATTTTATTTATATATATATATATATATATATAAGACGTTTCGATCAATTTACAAATTATTATCAACCGATCAAGCGATTCTCTTTTGTCTCCAGTTGAAATTTCGTTTTCTTTATTCCGGATTAGACAAAGAATTTTGAATTTTTCCACGCTTTAATACTTTAAAAATACATGCCGCGCGTGGCTCTATTCTCCTCTGATACTCGTGTTATTTTTAATAACAAGGGTGAAACCGTCTCTTTTCAAACTCTCGTGCGATTCCAACCGCGGCATCTAGAAATAATTTTTCATACGCGGAAGGGATCGTTGTTTTTTCAAAGGAGCGAGAAAATGCGATACGAATATTCCTCCATCGGGATGATGAAGAAGCGGCACGCCCTCCTTTTCCCGCTTCTGTCGCCGGGATTAATAAACGATCGGCCGTTTCAATACGTAAAATAACGTCGCCGTGTAAATGTTTCAATTTCCGGCAGAGAGAAGAAATTTTCGTTTGGAAACGAAACGGTATACGAAATTTTTAAATAATAGCCAAACCTGTTTCCGTTCCGCTCCGTTCCCCGACCGACACAACATCCGCGTTCTACGATTAGCAAACGTAATTTCCAGAATCGATACTCGCATTATACATTCATTTTCCATTGTACGGAAAACAGGTAGTTGGCCGGTCGTTCATTATTCACCGTCCCTCATAGCTCGTCATAATCGTCGGGATTAAATAATGAATCGTGTGACGGCGTATTCGATGTATTATTCCCTCTTACGTGCAGCTCTGGATTCATTCTATTTGTCCCCCGATAAAAAATCACGTGCAAACGAACACGTCGGCCTCGTCGGTAAATAAATAACGAGCCAACGGCCAGTTTCCACCCTATAAACCGTCTCTTTGATCATTTTCCACAGAGTTATGCAAAATATGAAGATCCTAGTTTATCTATCTTTGATCAGGATTCGCGTATGTATCTTTTCAGACGATCGATGCGAAAGGAGATTTAT